AATACAGAAATGGCGCACAAAACTGAGACTGCGCCTTTTAGTACGGTGCGCCTTATGGTCGTGAAAATACGGTAAATAAATACGACAAATGTCTATCACAATTTTACCACTGTTTTGTGACCATATGTTAGCCTACAGATTTGACAAACTATATCTTTTTTCAAAATAAACTTAAGCAAATGTCTAGTTGCCTTCAATATAAGCATGTTGTTGTTTTGGTTGATGCAGTTAATTTAAGTGTCTATGCTGGTCTCCAATACAGGAGAGGCTCAATGGTGTTAATTAAATCCAAATCTACTCTATTGAACAAACAAATGTTAAAACACATAAAACATTACTACAATGTTTGAAAATAGATGTTATGAAGTGCTGAAATGATAAACTCCAAAAGGCAGGAGTTCAACACAACTGTTCGGACTAAATTACCACTCTTTTCTCTCTCATCGAGTCTCATGAGGAAAACCTCCCCTCTGTCTGATCACTGTCACTCAAATCTTTTTTGCATTGTCTGCCAATCAAAATCAAGCAGCCAGCTTCAAAACCTGCCCCCAGCCTGCCCCTGCATCATAGACACAAAAGGATGTTTGGCATCACTGGAAGTGATTGCTATCCATTATTGGTATACAAACATGGCACTACTTTTCTCGCTGGTGGCCTTTATAAACGGAAGCAGGCCTTAACCAGGATTTCACATAGGCAGTGTATTGCTGCTGCTGTGTGGTGGGGAGATCACAACATCGCAAGATACTCATGAAATCAAGCACATTTTAGTGCACGTTTAATGCAGTTTAATGCCTGCATTTATGAAGTTTAACAATGCACATTGTTTTTGTGACCAAATATTTTACAATATTTACTGGGGAGGCTCAGCCTCCCTAGTATTCAATGAGAAATCACCACTGGTCGACCTAGAATCTGCATGGACTTAATTTTCTGTGATTAGTAGCAGAGACCTCATTTGTCTCTGGTGCTAGACTTGAAACCTAATTTATTTTCTTGTGTACCCACCTCCATCTGCATGCGGATCCAACTGAGTGACTTCGTAATACGAGTGTAAACTCCTGGTTTGTTCCTCTCTGCACAGCCAATCCCCCAGCTAGTTGCTCCAACAAGCTTCCACACAGTAGCGTCTTCACATGCAAGAGGACCCCCACTGTCTCCCTGTAGAAATGCACAAATGAAAACACTAAACAAGACTTACTTGTTTCTTCCACTATAATTCTCATTAATACTAATAAAAATTGCTGTTGTCTCATAGAAAGAATATGTTGCTAAAACATGAGTGTACTTCTCAGTCTAATTGCAATTTTTAACAAAAGCTTAAAGAGAATTTGTGATGAATGACAGTGTCATTTTCTGAAAACCAAATGAGCCAGACAGGAAGACATGGAAGAATAAGGCATTTCATTTCAAAATAAGAGGTGACAGATAGTATATGTATCTACAGGGAATTGCTGCACAGCACACTTTGTAATGGACAGAACGGACATGGAACGTAGTCAGCGTGAAGCAGGGTTAATTGATTTGGTGTAAAGAAAGATGTTATTTAAGTGTGCTCCTATGCATTGGAGGAGCAGACTGAGCAGGCGTGTTTATGCAGTTTGAAGGTTCTCATGTGGAACTGAACGAATTGAACGAATTTAGAGCTGACAGGTCAAAATCAGTTTGATAGTTTAGACAAAATCAAGTGAGTATCTCGGATCAATGTAATCCCTCTTATTGAGCTCTCTTGTCAGTGGTGTATGACTTTAGGGAGATGATGAGGACATATGACATATAAATGCATGACATATAAATAATCTTTTTAACTTCATCTTTTGCATAATTTCCTTCTAGACTTTAGGCAGACAGGCCATCTCAGGACACAGGGGTTTGACCATGATAATGGATGTGGAACCTTTGATGGTCCTAAAAACAATATGTGGTAGTGGGGCATATACTGTACAAAGGAGGGTTAGGGTTAGGGTTAACAAAACTTGTGATTCAATTTGAAAGAGCCAAAATCATTGGAAAAAGAGGCTGGCGAACAACAGTGTTACATTCTTAGCATTTGGGATAGGATTTAATATACATTAATATATTCTTCTGTTTTTTTTACTCTTTTATTTTCCAGTCATGTTTGAAATACGGTAAACTAAACCAGAATATATGGATAACAAATATTGCATAAATATAATTTTTTCAAAAAAAGTACAAAATCCAGAAAACAACAGACTCCCTCTGTCAAAGTGACTTGCTGTTCCTGGTGGTCTTTAATCACTGCATTTAGGATGGCAAATACTGTGGTCTTTGGAAGTATACTACTTCATTCTGTTTGTAACATGATGATGTATCTTGCAGAACCAGTCTGTAATCTGTTCCATCTAATTTCCCTTCTTAGCCACACATCAGATTAATACAGTCCTTAAAGTGTTCTACAAGTAGTTGGAAAATGTTAAATTTAATGTTTAGATATCTGCCTTTGCTTGCTACTTTTTGCTATTGGATGCTGATGGAAATTATTAGTTAACTCAAATTGAAGTGTTTCAAACAAACCAATAACGCAAAATCCTTGAAGTTTTTTTTTATATCATTAAGCTGTTTTTTATTAAGAAGAAAAAAACAGCCAGCTGGTTTAGCAGCAAACCAGCGGGCATAATTTTGATTGCAGTCATCTAAGGGGGAAAAAATGCACTACAGCATTCTTCACACACATGACAACACTTGTAAGTAGCTTCAAAAGAAATAACCAAATAGTGCTAAATATAAAGTACATAAGAAAAGTAAACATATTGGTTGTGAGCCTTGTGTGAGACTAGTGTTGTCCTTGCTATAAATGGAAGCAAACATTACCTGACAGGAGTCAATTCTTCCTTCCAAGTACCCTGCACAAATCATCCAAGATGAGATAAGGCCCTTGTAAACTTCTGGCTGGTTGCAGGTCTTGGTAGAGATAAGCGGTATCCTGGCTGCGCGTAGAACAATACTGGACTCTCCTAGGAGCACCAGTTAAAGAATAAAATGCAAATCTTTATACATAATTTGTCTTACAATTTTAATGCAGGATTGTATAAGGATGGCTCCATAACTGATTTTTGAGGGCTTTTAATTTCTGGTTTGTTTTGTAATTGCAGATGTAATATTATTAACACTGACTCACCATCTTCCTCTGTGGCTCCCCAGCCAGAGATCCAGCACATTGTGCCCTCAGTAAATTCCTCTCCATAGTTAGGCAAGCAAATGGGTTCCACAAGGCCTATAGAAAAAAAGGTTTAGATCTAAAATAATGTATGTTGTGCTTTTGTGTTAGGGTTAAATACACACCAGCATATTATTTCATTTAAATTTAATCTTTATATACTGCGCCAATTCACAGCAAATGTCTCCTTGTTATTGAATTTGAGGCATTGCAGTGTGTTTCAGGGTAAGGAGGAGCACATTTAAAGTTTCCAGATGTTGTCCTGTCTCTCGTTCTATGGATTGAGTCAGTGTGACATAGCAGCTACACTGATCCAAAAGCAATGCACAGAGGCACAAGTATAAACTAAGAACAAATTGTATGTACATGGACCCTGCTACTGAAAATTCTTCAGTTTATTCATATAGCGCAAATTCACAAGAAATTAGAATTAACAGGAAGAAACCTCGAAAAGAAAGTGTCAAAGTTTTTTGTCAAAAGCCAGTTGTATAATAAAAATATTGGTAATATCAGTTTTAATGCTATATCCCCAGGAGGACTGTGAATTAAGTTGTTCATGTCATCTTGAACTTAGTAGAGAAGAATTTCGCATGTCATTCACTTTTAACATTCTGATTTTTTTTTAAAGTAGAATAGATAAGATCTTAATACGCCTTCTTTTGTATTAAAATTAAAACATTGATTTGGACCTTTTTAGAGTTTCATTTATTCTCCCTTTTACTAGTTTTTTCTTTAGGTTCAAGCTCAGAATTATACCATGGAGCCAACTATTTATGAAAAAACTTAAAACTTAAAACCTTAAAAAAGGAGGCAAAACTGTCTAGTGTAACATGCAGTAAGAAAGAACCTTTAACAAGAACATAAGTATGAGAACAGTTAAGAAAAATGGTTAGTGTCTTTTGCTTTGTATTTTTTTACAGTATTGTTTTATAAGATCTACTCTAACAAAAAACTATTTTAGCAATAAAAAACGTGTTGAATTTAGCTTGACTTTTATTGAAAAAATGGTAAGATAATAGAGGGTTATTAATAATGTTATTTCCTCAAAATCAATGTTATATAGATAATGTGATACATCTCTAAATATAATACATGTGTTGTCAATATACATATAAACAATTAGATAAAAAATTTGTAAACATAAGAGAGAGAGATTTCCATAGATAAGCTGTACACAGTGTTTGGTGAAGAGAATCCATGGTTTGCATTATTAGTCAGTGCATATTATCTTTTCAGTAGAGGTCAGTAGATGTGAGGACACTGGGAGACCAGAAAGTGTGAACAAAAACTCTCCTATTGATGCAATGGCCTGCTGCACCTGTTCTGTTCTTTCTGAAGTCAAGAGTAATACCTGTTTTTTTGTTTGGTTGTTTTTCTTTTGATCTTCAGAGCTAGTTTACTTTTGCTCACCATGCTTCCCACTTTATAACCTCATGCAATAAAAAAGTCAAACCTAAGTGGTGTCGTCAGAAAACGAGCCAAACTGCAATCATTGGTCTAGAGACGTACAAGGGAGGGGTGAGGGAGGTCAAGCATGGCCAGTATAGTAATAAACATGTCTCAGATGAAAAACAACAATACCTGCTCTTTAATTTCAATGATTTTCCTGGTGATATCATTGCAGATTTTCTGAACAGGGGCATCTTCAGAGTAGACAAGTCTTGGATTCAAGGCTGTTGTGTGCAGATATGAAGCACAGGAAGTTCTCAAATTTGACTTCATATTTGGTGCTGTCCTCTACTCATGGTGTCATAGATTTTAGTAGCATCTTGTGCAGTGGAATGATCATTGACACTAATGGGGATGTTTCTGTGCTTATAAGGGTTGTGATATTCTTAAGAGATTTGAGAATCTTAATAAGATTCTCTGACAGGTTTTCTTCACCATTAGTCAAAGCAGAAATATCCTTTAGACGATTCTACACATCCTTCTCCATCAGATCAGAGTAGACCGCAGGCTGCTATTCCAAATCAACTCAGACAGATCATATAGACAGATATCATGTATTATTTTATTAGCATCCCCTGTTTGGATTTTAGGGCTTGGCTGGCTGTTTGGCTGCTATTTAAGAATATTACCACCTTCCTAATATTCTCCAGCAGTCATGAAATCTGATTTGTTGAAACTGCATTCCTAGCTGTCAGATTAGCTGTATGTGCAAATCTGCATATTTTTTAACCAAGTCAAGTTGTGGTATTTACTTAGAGTTAGACTAACTTTATTGTAATTTTGTATACACAGTGTATACAAAAGAAAATTATGTTGCATACAGCTTACAACAGTGAAATGGACATTACCATTATAAATTGCAGCAGTGATCAGAATGTAAACAGTGTGGAAGAAAAATGGAACCAGTTTAAAAATAATGGTGCAAAAGGGCATTAATATGGAAAGCTAAATGCACTAGAAACATTGAGTTGTGTTCTATTTAAAAGTATTATAATATTATTATAATATTATAATATTTGAGCCATGTTGGTAGTCAAAAACAAATGTTGCAACTGTGATGCAGAGTGAAGTTTATAGTTCAACAGTGAGGCAGTGGGGAAAAAGTTGTTGCAGAACCTGCTGGCCCTGCAGCTAACTCTGCAAAGCCACCACACTTCTCATGTTCTTCCAGTCTGAGGCGCTGGAGCCTCCATACCACAGTGTGACAGCTGGTCAGAACGCTCTCTATGGTGCTTCTGTAAAAGGTCGTGAAGATCGGTGTGGGGCAGTTGGGCTCTCCTCATCCTCCGCAGGAAGTACAAGCGCTTCTGTGCCCTCTTGATCAGTAAGGTGGTGTACACAGACCAGGGGAGGTTGTCTGTGATGTGCACACCCAGGAATTTGGTACTGCTGACCACCTACAGAGCAGAGCTGTTGATGAGCAGTGGAGTGTGGTTAGGCCGGTTCTTCCTGAAGTCGCAATGTTCTCCTTTGTCTTTCCCACGTTCAGGATTAGGCTGTTGTCTCTACACCAGCCCACCAGCTGCTCCACCTCCTCTCTGTCGTCTTTGATGAGGCAACCATCTTTGTGTTTTTTGCAAATTTCACTATCTGATTGGTGTTGAACCTGGGGTTGCAGATGTTTGTCATCAGAATTAACAGCAGGGGGCTCAGGACGCAGCCCTGAGGAGAGCCTGTGCTTAGGGTGATGACAACAGAGGTGATCTGTCTGACCTGGATGGTGAGGAAGTCTAGCAGCCAGTTTCAAAAGGGTGTGCTGACGCCCAGATGTTACAGTTTTCCTTTCAGTTTCTGTGGGATGATGGTGTTGAAAGCTGAAGACCAGGAACAGCATCCGCGCAAAGGTGTTCTTCCCCTGTAGGTGTGAAAGGCTCAGGTGAAGAGAATGCTCACTGAGAAAATGGCATCCTCATTGGAGTGGTTACGTATGTTTGGTATGCAACCTGGAATTGGTCGAATGTTGGGGAAAGTCTGGATATGATGTGTTCTATTACCAGTCTTTTGAAGACCTTCATCATGATGGGAGTCAGTGCAACAGACTGGTAGTCATTTAATTAGGTGACTTAAGGCTTCTTTTGGCCCGGAATTATAAAAGTAAGACATAAAGCATGCTAGCATTATGGCTTGGTCCAGCAAGGTGTTGAAAATGTTAGTCAGGACAACAGCCATCTGACCTGCACACTCTTTGAAAATCCGCCCAGGTATGTCATCGGGGCCTGGGGCCTTCCGCGGGTTGATCTCCTCAAAATCTTCCACATGTCAGCTGTGTCAAGGCAGAGTGCCTCCTCTCCCTGATGGGGAATAGCTTTCACTGCTGGGATGCTGTTTAGTGCCTCACATCTCCCAAAGAAGTTGCTTAGTCCATTTAGGAAGTCAGGGGGGTGTGTTGTTGTCTGTAATTTCCCATATGCTTTGCCACATGCTCCTGGTTTAGCTGGCGTCGTGGAAAAGAACCTGAATTTTCTGGTTGTGACTCCACTAACCTGATGGCACGGTTCAAGTCAGATCTCACTGTCCTCAGTGCATCTTTCTCACCAGACTTGAAGGCTAAGTTCCATGCTTTTAGAATTTGTCATCCATCATGTAGTAACAGGGATTTTGCTGCTGTACCTCTGCAACTTCCATTATGTCAGTGATTCTGGGTGCTTCAGAGAGATGCACTAGTATGGCTCTAATAGAAGTGATGTGTCTATTAAACTATATTGTAGTAGAAAGACCTCGATAACCACCAATCCAAAGTACGGTAAGAGTAACATGGACTGTGGAACACAGGGACCACATTTCATCATTCTGCTTCATTCTATCTCTGTTCTCATTCTGCAGTATGTCTTAGTACAACCTCTAACTTTATACTCTTATTTTCTCATCATAGTAGCTTCAGCTGGTTTGTTCCTGTTTGGCTGTGACACCATCCTGAATTGAAATATCAGCTGTGCCACTGCCATCAACATCCCTGTTTATAGATGTTGGAGCCTGACATGTTTTCGGTGTGGTCCTCTTTCTCTTACTGTGACTAACTATAGGTGCTCTCTTTAATTCTCTGAACTGGGAGCTGGCTCACAGCTCCTCCACCTGGCTGCATCTTCCCTGTGGAGCTAGCTAAAAGCTTTTGTATCTCTGCTTATTTTTGTATATCTGCTTCTATCTCCTGGAACCCCAGTCAGCCTTTCCCCAGTTGGCCTAAATCTGCTGCAGGCTTCTCCCTGTTAAAAGGGAGTTTTCCTCTCCTCTGTCGCTACAAGCATGCTTAATTTAAGGGATGGCAGAGATTCAATGAGTCGATGCAATCAGCTGGTTTTCCTTAGTAAACTTTGAACCAATTTGACTGTATGATCTGGTTGAATTGTCTCTACAAAGGGCCTTGAGATGACGTGTGTTGTGAATTTGCGCTATATAAATAAACTCAATTGAAATTGAATTGCAGGCACGTAGGTTCCCTGATGATACATCATGGCCTCGGAGGTTTGTGATGCTTTCCATGGCCCACTACACCAGTGGGCCATGCAAAGCATTATGTACTGGCACTATTTGGAACTGACATGTTTAACTGCTTGAGTCACCAGAGTTGAACTGTAGGTTATACAGTGTTAAGTTTCACAGATTCATGAGGAATCTCCACTTTTCTGATCTAAATACACCGATCTAAATCCTTTCCAATCACCGGACAGTAAAATGTGCACATAGTGAGCAAAAGTTCTAGGTGTTGGAGGACACAGATAGGATGACACTCTGTATTAGATTTAAGGTAATGTTTTAACATTTAGTGTTCCTTTTGCAAAGTTATGTCAAGCTCATCAAGACTAATCACAAGTTTCTCAGACCATTTATTGTTTGTTACGTGCTAGGATATGCAGTGTGTATGGAAACTATTCATACCCCTTTAAATTTTTCACTCTTTGTTTCATTGCAGCCATTTGCTAAAATCAAAAAAGTTAATTTACTTTCTCATTAATGTATACTAAGCAGCCCATCTTGACAGAAAAAAACTAAATTTTATAAATCTTAGCAATTTTTTTCAAAGAAGAAAATCTGAAATATCAAATGGTCATAAGTATTCAGAGCCTTTGCTCAGTATTGAGTAGAAGCACCCTTTTGAGATAGTACAGTCTTCTTGGGAATGATGAAACAAGTTTACACTCAGCCCCTGTCAAGACGAGGTGCTGAGTGTACATTAATGAAAATAAAATGAACTTTATTGATTTTAGCAACTGGCTGCAATGAAACAAAAAGTGAAAAATTTAAAGTCGTCTGAATACTATCTGGGGGCTGCTTAGTGGCACAGTGGGTAGCACTGCTGCCTTGCAGCAAGAAGGTTCTGGGTTCTATTCCCGGCCCAGGGTCTTTCTGCATGGAGTTTGCATGTTCTCCCTGAGCATGCATGGGTTCTCTCTGGGTACTCCGGCTTCCTCCCACAGTCCAAAACATGTCTGTTAGGTTAATTGGCTTCTCTAGGTTGTCCTTAGGTGTTAGTGTGTGCGTGAATGGTTGTTTGTCCTGTTTGTCTCTGTGTTGCCCTGCCATGGACTGGCGACCTGTCCAGGGTGGACCCCGCCTCTCGCCCATTGACTGCTGGAGATAGGCACCAGCACCCCTTGCGACCCCACTCGGGACAAGCGTGGCAGATAATGGATGGATGGATGAATACTTTCTGTACCCACTGTAATATGTTATCCAAACAAGTATGATATAAGCTGTACACATTAGCTGTTTCAGAACATCATGAAGAGGAATTAAATTTATGCTGCGAAGCCAGAATTTGATTTTTGTATAATGCTCTGTCCTCTCAAACACCCAGTCAATTGTTTCACTGGGCTAGGTTAAGCTAGAGGTTTCTTGCTACTGAAAAGATTTAATAAAAAAAAAAAAAGGGGGGGGGGGGGGGGGTAATTTCCATTGTTGCTTTATACATGCTCACTATGAGCAAGTAAGGCAACAAAGTTAACACTTAGTGCAACCATCAGTATTACCGTTAAAAACAAGAGGCTCCTCTAGTCTCATCAATGCAATGTCATAGTCCAGTCCTTTGGGTTGGTACTGAGCATGATACACAATTCTCTTTACAGTCAAAGAATGGGCCCCATGGATCAGCTGCTCTGTCAGCCCCACATGAACCGTCCACAGCGAGGAGTCCTCAAATCTGACACCAGACAACAAGAAAAGACATTAAATATTTGTTTTCCTTTTTTTTTCAAGTTGTATTTTTAATAAACCTTTATGTATTGTTTGCTTGTTAACTCTTGCCTGTTTATCTGATTATTTAATGTTTGTTCAAATGCTTCAAATGCCACCTTGCAATGAAAAAGAGACTAATCTTGAAAAAAGTTTAGCTTCATCTTCAGACAATACCTGGAGGAATGGGCACAGTTATCTTTGCTTTGATTTAAAACACAGCTGGTTTAAAACCTGTTATTAAACAATGAAAACTGAATCAATTAGCAATTGATAAAAGCATTTTGAAGAAAAATTAAAAAAGCCCTGACAAAATAACAACATTAGACATGCATGCCAGTATTTAATTATATGCTTTATATTACAAGCCTGCATAATAGGTGATATTTTGCAAGCACAAAGAATGACTTCTTTTAATAAAGTCCAACAGAACTTTCATTTAAAATAGCTAGCATCCTCTCTCTTAGGAGAATTATTTAAAATGTATGGAACAAACTATTTCTTTAGTATAAATATAATGTATACACAGGGTGAAATACGCATTGAACACTCAACAATTTTTCTCAGTAAATATATTTCTAGAGGTGCTATTGACATGACATTTCCACCAGATGTCGTAACAATCCATGCAATGCACACATACAAAAAAAATCAGAGCATAGATGTCCAGCAATTGAGTTTCTAAAATAGTTTGTATGATTTTGAAATACCCATACCTGTAATTTGGGCTTTACTACCCAATATTTTGACCAAGCTCATGACTGGTCCAGATCTCATATATTTAGGCATGTTTAGGTATTGAGCTGCAGTACTCTTAGCTCCCTGGCAAACAATGTCAAGTTACTATGGACTAGTTTTATTTGAGGATATGGCTCTTCAAGGGCTTTTTGGTTTGTGTTTTTTTCCTCTTTTGTTCTTTAGAACCACAGCAGTTCAGATTAGTCAAGATCCTCTCAGAATCTAATTCTAGGCATGCATTCACAAAGATTCACAGGGTACTTTCTACTTTATATCTATGTATTTATGCTGTATAAAGGTGTTGTATTAGGATAGATGACTAGAAACAAAAGAAAAAAAGCAGAGAAAACAGAAAGCCTAGCTTAGAGAGGATTGTTCAAAGTGGTTAAATAAAGGAGTGTTGAAGGGAATTAGAGATCAACCGATACATCAGCTTCTTCTTTTGGCCAGTATTAGCATTCTTTCTTATATCAGTATCAGCTAACACATGCATGCATTCGCTGATTCATTAGTGCAATTAGCAGGTGTTGTTGGGATCTGGAGATCTGCCACCTGTCTCCAGCAGAGAGCGCTGTGGGTCTCCTGGGCTGGAGCCCTCAGCACACCTGAGGATCATCAGCCCATCAGGAGACCTCCTACATAAGCAGCAGTCAGACCTTCCTTCAACGCCGCAGTGTTGACCAAGTTTGGTTAGCGAACCTGAGCTTCTGTTAATTTTAGAGAATCTTAGTTGGCTCTAGAGAGAAACTAGATTCTAACCTGCCTCTGTCTTCTTTGCTCAGAGAAAACCCGACTGAAGTCTGAAGCTCTGGATGAGCTTTGCCTGGAAACCTGCCTGCCTGCCCAAGGGAGCCAAACCTGAAGATATCAGTCTGGATTCCTCCAACAGCTCTCAAGGAAGAGCTAGGAAACCAAGTCAAGGTCAGAAACTCACAAGTCAGAAGCTAGACGCTGCTGCTGCTGAGCTCCCTGCTGAATCTACAGTCTCTGGACCCAACCGGTTCCCCCCTCTCAAAGGATCTGTCAGAACCTCTTCAAGATATCAGTGATGGTCAGAAACTCACAAGTCAGAAGCTAGATGCTGCTGCTGCTGAGCTGCCTGCTGAATCTACAGTCTCTGGACTAGGGCTGCAACAACGAATCGATAAAATCGATAAAAATCGACTTTTAAAAGCGTTGGCAACGAATTTCATCATCGATTAGTTGTGTCGCGTGATTAATGCGTCATCCGCCGCGCCGTCATCACTGCCTCTTGACTGAAAGAGGAAGGAAAAAAAAATAAGGCAGAGCGAGCCAGCGCCATAGGTGCAGTGTTGCCAACTCAGCGACTTTTCAGACCCCTCCAGCGACTATTTTTCAAAAAAGCGACTAGCGACAAATCTGGCGACTTTTTTCGGTATCACTGGCGGCTTTTGGAGACTCTTACGTGAAAGCATGTATCGTTCCTACTCTGCCGTGGGGCGCCTCTCCCACCCCAACCACGTTTTCTCGCAGGAGTCCCTCTCAGCGCTGCAGTCAGCGTCCAGACTGCAAATGAAGCGCGCATGCACCGGGATTGACGGCGCAAATTGATCACAATAATTAAAATAGCCTGCGCTTTGTAAAGCGAAAAAAGTGATAACATGCAACTTTTTTCAAAAGAAATTAACATGGCACGGAACCACCATGTTTGTTTGGTTTTAAAGTGGGGAAACGTTACGTTAGTTTCTCAGGTAGCTCATCTGATGCTTTCCTTACCGTGTTAGTAGGTTACAGACAGGGATAAGGTTGGCTACTTATTTTACTTTTAATTTCATTTGAATTAGCTTAAGCAGCGTTTACATTTACTTTATAAATAAATTAACTTGCAAATTATGAGGGCAAGGCTTTTAAAGTTTAAATCTTCTGGCAAAGATAAAGTAAAAAAGATCCTGCAATTTATGGAAGTAAAGCAGAATAAAATCCAGCAAGATCAGTAATATGTCAATTAATTATATGCCACATTCCCATGTAAATATCTGTCTTTGGAGGATGTGTTTTTTAGCACCCCTAGTTCTCTCATTTTTATTCCAAATACAATTTATAATTTGAATCACAGGGCTATTTTTATCTCTATGGTTCAGTGTTTTCTCAAGTAGCAACTTTAACTGCTATACTTTCCTGTCTTAAAAGGCAGAACTCTTCTAGTCTAAAAGAACTCATTTGTTGAAATGGGGGGACCTATTGTTTGAACCCCTTAGGGACTTTTAAAAACAAAAATGTCTTTTTTTGCGCTTTATGAAACAAAGTATCCTATATTTTGTGGATGTACAGCTACATTTCTCTCATGTAAGTTTGCGTAGTTTTAACACAAACATTTATTTTTCATATTGCACCAGTACAGTTAATGAGCAACCTGTACTTGTGTGCTTGTTTGTTCTGTCTAAAATGTCTATTTTGGAATAAAGAGGTTAATATAAAAAATATTTTTTGTCCGATTCATCGATTTTTAAAATAATCGTTAGTTGCAGCCCTACTCTGGACCCAACCGGTTCCCCCCCTCTCAAAGGACCTGTCAGAACCTCTTCAAGGTACATTCTGAATTAACACACTCGACAAGCAATCTTAACTGCCTGGCTAATCAAACTATCCATCTCTGCAGATATCAGTGATTCCAGTCCCCGATCTGTACCAGAACCAGTTCATTATTATTCTGTGTGTTTCTCAATAAACTCTGTTAAACTTTTACTCAGCTTCCTCTGGTGTTCTGCATTTGGGTTAAGTCTCTTAAGCCAATCATGACAGGTGTGCTTTTTGTACAAGGTATGCACTGCTGCTACCACGTTTTGCTATCCATTGTTAATGTTTTCTTGGATATGTTACTAGGGCTTGTGTAAAACATTTTTTTAATAGATTTTTTATTATTAGATTTTTTCCCCCTGTAAAATGGGAAGAGAAAGCTTCAAGAACTGGCCTAACAAAATATCTGCCAGTGAGATGGACGCTCACAAACTAACCTCTAGATTACAGTTATTCAAATTCAACTCTATGGATACTGGCATTATCATGTACGATACAGAAATACCTTACATTTTTTTTTACATCTTCCATCTATGTATTGCACATACCCTAGATATTTTATAAAGACAATCTTGTGCAACTCTTTTCCAATTCAACAGTCCATTGACTATGTCTAAATTACACTGCCCTACTTTTTTTGTACATTTGACATTTTTTATTCATGGTTAATTCATAGTTTTCTACAAATTATTTATCCTCAATAAAACTAAGTTACTACAAGCGGGGTTTTACCTATACAACTGGTAAAATTTCCCTTATTGGGATGCTAAAATTAGTCTTATGTCAAATTTAGTAGCTATATGATTTTTAAAATTATTTATGTTCTTGTTTAACATTTTTGTGACTTACCCATACACACAGTGGGCTGCAGTGAGGATCCACCTTGATGCTATGATGGAGCCTCCACATAGGTGCTCACTCCTGAAGTGGAGGCTGACCTGCCAGGGAAACTGACCTGGTTTGGAGGTATTACCCCCAACAATACGCGTGTTGTACTTAGGCGTAGAACCACACGCTGAGAACAGATACAGAATCTTATTGTAAGTCAGAAAGTTCAGATACAACACAAAAAGTCTTTCCTCATGACACTTTACAAAAAAAGTTCAAACAAACCACTGGACTTTCTTTCCAAGTTTAAAAACGTTACGGTTCCCATCCAGGAAGCTTTCTCAAAATGTCTGGAGTAGCATGAAGCTCCAGGCTTTATAGAGTAGCCCAACTAAAGCCTTGTTATGGCTTAGAAAACATACACATTTAACCAAAACAGGTCCACCTCTTGCAATGAGTAGTCATTAAAGTCATTGTTGGCCTGCAAATTAAACCAAAACTTTCCCAGGCCTCTGTAATACGGAGTTGTTAGGGTCGTTATTGGCCTTGCTCGCAGTCGCAATGTTTTGACCACGTGCATGGTGATGAGGATTGGGGTGATAGTGGGAAGGAATCAACTCTAAAGCTGCGTTGCAGGTTTTTGAGAGCTGACACCTGAGTCCTCACCCTCTGTTTAAGGTTGCTTTTTCTTTCTTAACATAAATGGCTTTCTTCACAACCCCTTCAAAGCACCTGTCTTCTTTTTCTAAAATGTTAACATTCTGGTCCTCAAACGCGTGTTCTTTGTCCTTAAGATGAAGTTGGACAGCAGAGTCTTGTCTGGAGGAGGTCTCTCCTGTGTTGAGCCATACATCGGTGGAAAGGTTGTTTGGGTTCTCCAATATAAAGATCAGACCATTCTTCCCTGCAATGAACTGCATACACCTCTCCGCTAAGCTTAGGTTTCTGGGTTTTAACCTGAGAATCCACCAGCTAAGGGTCTAAGGGTCTTGTTTGGTTGGAAATGTACTAGGAGTTTGAAAAGGGGTATAAAAGAAGCCATTCACATACAGAGAAAAAACAACCTTAAACAGAGGGGGAACACTCGAAAACCTATAAACCTAATGACTCCCCATTATAGAGGCGTGGGCCAGTTTCGGTTTAATTTTTAAAATGACTGCGAAGGCCAAGAAGGGCAAGTTAACAGGTTAAAAACTGAAGGCTAGTTGGCAAGACTTTGAGTTGTAAAAGGGAGACATTATGGAAAATTACCAAGGCCTCAGGTCTAGAAACAAAGGAATAAAAGTTTTAGATCTTGGGCTGGGTGTAGGACTATAGAGCCATATGCACCAGTTTTTTTGCAGTGTGGTGTTAAGGGTCTTGCTCAGGGGGACCAAGCGGCAGTCTGTGGGTATGGGGGATCAGGATTTAAAGCCCTATGCCCTATGCCCTAACCACTAGGCCGCCACTCTCTTAGTTTGTAAATGGACAACTTCAACTCACTGCCCCTACTGCACTGAGTAACTCTCAAGTTTTCAAATCGTACCCAAAATACGGTAAAAACTTTATCGTTAAACCTTTAAACAAGACTATAAAATCTTAAAAATAAATCACGATAGATTAAAACATCTATTGCTGCCAATACTCTGACATCTAAAACTGAGTCTGTGCCTCTCCATTTATTTTAAATAATTTCCTAAATTTTTGTTCATTCTTTCTTTAAAAATCCAGAAGATTTAATTTATTTGTTGTGGATATGTATCTCAGTCTGTATTTTTAAGTCTGACCTTCTGTGAATAAGCAAAAAAATCATAATAAATGTAAACTTGTGCACACAATTCTGGTTTTCATAAAATCCTAAAGCTGTACAAAAACACGACTAAAAGCCTAAATTAAATGTAAAATAAAAAAAAAATTTAAAAAAATGTATATTGTTTAACATTGTATAACATTTTCCTCTTAAAGTTGTTAACACATGGTGTCAGGAACTAAATCAATCCAGTTTTAATTGGTTTTCTCACCTATACATTTCAGGGTGATCACCATCCCTGAGGAGCACTGCTGCTTTCTGCTAGGACAAAGATGTGGTAAAATTATATTCAAGCATGTGATGACAAGTGCAGATATAGGGTCATCTTCACTGCTTTGAAAACTTTTCAGGTCACAAAGAATTGTAAGGGATTATCCTACAGTTGCTTACGTAAAGGTTGTAGCGTTCTGGAGTTTAATGACCTCTGTCTGGCTATAGTTAAAGGAAATCAGGTTCGACTGAAGGTCCTGCTCAATGGAGGTCACTGGGAGAAAAGAGGACTCTATATGACTGGAGAAAGAAAAAAAAGAAAAAAAGAAAATGCATTTGCATTCAATGATATTTAACATCCTTTTTTCATGTAAGGTGAGTTTGCTTCCTAAGGTTTTTGGGTGGTAATAAACCTTAATATAAAATCTAAATAGACATTAACTGTATTTAGCCTGTAAGAATAATTATCATATTCATAATGCATAATGCTTAAAACAATATCTGAATTACAGATATTGTTATATGATGATTGGATTTAAAATGCCTTGATACACTTTTTTTAATTGGTGTAACAAACTTTTTTTTTTATTAATCCACCCAATCCAGTTGGTTCACCCAGGTGTGGGATTTCTAAATCTAATGACATTTTTATTTTGGATAAAATTTGTCAAACAAAGAACCATCACATAACATAGTACTCCCAGTATGCAACAAATTAATCTTATCTTTATTTACTTCTGGTGTGAAGGACGAGGAACACATCTCAAAAGTACTTTAACAATTGAAGTGTCGGAAGGAAGGAAGGAAGGAAGGAAGGAAGGAAGGAAGGAAGGAAGGAAGGAAGGAAGGAAGGAAGGAAAATAAGTACAAATAGGGAGGGACACG